TCTAGATTGGGAAATCAACATTGTGAATGACTTAGCTCCAGAATTGAGTAGGAAGAAACGGGCTACTCGTGGAGCTTTCAAGAGCATCGAGAATGTAGAGAGGAGAACAAAGAGCACTCGACTTCATGTTCACCTTTTCGGCTCCACAATACGTCCTGCTTTAACGTATGCGTCGAAAACCTGGTCGATGTGTAGGCAGGATGAAAGATCATTCAGCGTTATTGAACGAGCTGTGGAAAGGACTATGCTAGAAGTATCCTATGCCACACAAGTAAGGGAAGAAATTCGAAGCTCCGACCTTCGTCTACGACCAAAAACCAAGGATGCCATTCTGTACGCCAAGCTGTTGAAGAGATGGTAAGATACACATAATAGGTATGAACGACAATCGATGAGCAACTGCAGTTAATGAGTGTGTTCCTCGGGATGTCAAACGCAGTGCAGGAAGACCACAGACCCGATAGTCAAGAGTTCCTCACAAAGAACCTAGAAGAAAGACATGATGCTCAGCGATTTCCTAGAGAGAGCAGAACCCAATGGGCTGCTCTTGAACGCGACAGGGAAAAGTGGAAGATTTACTGGCGCCCACTTGAGTCACTCGACGATCAACGGGACAACACCTGACAGGTGATACCGTTATGCGTAATACAGCATACAGTTAGCATCTAAAGCATGCTCTTGAAGGTGTAAAAGACTGTTATTGTTTTTTTTTACAAAAGGACAAGTCGATCCGACGTAATGCAGGTAGAGAGCTCAGCAGCAACATCTCACATGATGCACCTGGTCTTTTTGTTTTTCTTCACGTTTAATTTCCAATAAGCTGCATATTGAAAATATAGATCAATCATCAAGAATTACTTGATCTTGCATTACTATTCCTATTATGATCAAAGATTGCCGGTGATCTGGCAGAATCTCAAAGCTTCGACCGCGTACTCATTCGTCTGAAGTGATTGGGATTTCTGACTACTTTACAGTAGTGGAAAATTTATAACAGGTAATTAAGAAAATGCATTCTTAGCCAGCAAAAAGGAACACTGGTCACACATACCGAGATCTGCCACATGTGCTATGATAAAATATGTTAAGATCGCAGTTTCAACAGTTTTCATCTGCTTAGGACGAGAACAACAGGTGACGCATAATACGGCGTGAAGTCCATTTATGTCCTGAAGCTGAGACACCGGAACATTTCCTTGTGACGCAGATTTTCGAAGCCTTAAAAGCTACAGTTAAATCTCACGTTACTGGACCAAAAAACACTAGTAAAGCGATGGAATCATGATCCGTAGAAAGAAGACTCCATCTCAAATTGTTCATGACGTAGATTTTGGTTATTGAGACCCCATCACATCGCATGACATCCTTCGTCTTCAGACGGTTTATTAAAAGTGATATTATCCTGTAGCATATAGCATGTATTCCAGTTAACTGTTCTTGTTCTATCATAGTTTTTTGACTGGTGCTACAGTGAAATGGTAAATGTGCGTCGCTTACTATAATTTCGGCTAATCATGTTTTTGCTTGTATGAGTATTGGTTGTCGTTCTTCGAAGGGAATGTTTGCTTTATTTAAGCGTCCTTTGCAGCGAAAAACTCTGTGTTGATCTCTAACGATACTAAAAAGATGAAGAAATCTTTTTGCCATCCCGGGATAGGTGTTTCGTTGATAGTTTCATATGATCACTCTTAGTGCCGCTTCGTATTCGGCTGCCGTAATATACGATTGCGAAGATGCCAACCCGATCTCTGGAATAGTGCGGCGAATTCCTTCTCGTAATTGAGGTTTCACTTTTGCTGTCACTTTATTGAGGATTCTCAAAACATATGCCACTGCGTTTTGTGCTGTTATTAGTGGATTGTGTCTTGACCAGTCCAGTAATTCCAGCTCCGGTTGGTCAAAAGTGGTTATTACGGTGAAATTGCAGTTCATTTCCACACCTTGTGGTATCCTAAAAGGATTGATTCCCTTCTGCAAATCTGACTCTCTAATGAGATAGGTCAGATCCTATCCACCAATAATGGCTCTTTAACTAGAACTTACTTAGTCCTCTCGTTGAAGCAATCTGCTGGATTTTGATTGGTGGGCACGTGGGAAAATTGAATGAGATTGTGCAAAGCCCTATTCTATTCGAGGTATTTCCCTGGTGCGGTTCTCTACTACTACTCCCACTGATTTTTCTAAATTTCGTGATTATATCCAGCTTAGTGCAATTTTAGAGTCAGACATAATTAGTATCCCTTGAGTAGATACGTGGTTTTACAAAGCTGTTTGTATTGAGTGGGCTAGACGGACTGCCATAGTTACAGCATTTAACTCAAGCTTTGGAATAGTAGTAACGTAGTTGATTGGCTGTAGTTTGGATTTTCCCATAAGAGAAAACGAATGATTATTTGATACCAAGTAGGCGCAAGTTACCATACGAATGTAAATCTTTGCTTATGCGAATCTTTGCTGGCGTCCGCAAAGAGGATTAGTTCGGCTTCATGTTCGAGTTCGGCAACAAACCGTGGGATACAGATTTCAAATCCATTTAGGTTTCTGACTACTTTTCCTATTCGTCGGCATGTAGTTTTGAGAGCGGTGTGTCCCACGCATAGTCGGGGTTCCAAAGCTTTTGAAGAAACTGTTTTCCTCGCACTGTTAGTGGGTTGAGCTATCCTAGGGGAACGTAGATTGCTGCTACTTCTTCAACCAGTGAACGCTTGGTCAGCTTTACTTTGTATGGATATTTGCAGGAAAGAAGTAGTTTATCGTTTCCCGAATCCCATGCTATTCCCAGGATCTTTTGTTGATTGCTTAATGTCAAGTCCTTTGAGGGAATCTGCCGAACAAGTTCTTTATTGTTCGACATAAATTCTCGTAAATTTATGCCCAAATCTTTGAAAATTTTCTTTTATTGCTTAAATTTGTCCATAGCCTCTTCTAATGACGAACCTATGACAATAACGTTATCGACATATGTATTGTTCGTAAGTTCGTGCCAATGCTGCACTGGACACTTGGGTCTCTAAGTGATGCGTAATTGTTTCTGCTAGTAGAAACGGTGAACAATTCAGACCAAAGGTTACCCGTGTAAATCGGTAGGTAGCTACGTTTTTTGGCTCGCAAGCTTGTGAGATGTCGCGAACCCATAGAAATCGTGCAGCATATCTATCGTGTTCATGGAGTCGTACTAGCAACAATGCTTTCTCTATGTCCGCAATCACTGCAATATTTCCTATGCGAAAACGAAGTAGAATATCGCATATTCGAGGAAAGAAGACTGGCCCTTGGTGGAGGACATCATTTAATGAGGGCGCTAATACTGGATGCGCGGATGCGTCATAAACGACTCGTAATTTCGTGGTTTCCTTATGTGGAGTGACCACGGCGCGATGCTGTAGGTAGTGAATAATTACACCTTGTTGGCGCATCGCTTCATCGACTTCCTCAATAATGTTCTCGTTTAGTTGCTGTAATATGGTTCCGTTATATTTCTCTAGCAGGGGAGGATTTTTCGTTAGTGTGGCGATTGTCGCCTGTAGTCGCCCAAATGCCATGCATTTGTTCTCAGGGAGTGTGGTTGAATTGTGCTTTCACGGAAGTCTCACATAATAACCATCCTCACGTCTCTCTATCGTTTTCGCAAACTGTTTCCATATTTCAGCATTTTGCCGCTTTTGTTCTTTTATTTTCGATCCAGTAAATTCGTTAATTCCTGTTGATTCTTGTGTGCAAATGCCTTCCCATGATTGTTGTTTATAAGGTTGAGGATTGGGTACCGTAGTCTCTGTGACAAGGAGTGTACTTTCTTGTGATTTAATATACCACTTGTGGTTGGCTCCTACTACGAGATAACCCAGTTTAGAGAGAATTAAACTCAATCCCGATGGTAATGTTTTGTTTTGTCCTAGGTTACCGTCAAGTAGAGAAAATACAACTGTACATCCGAGCTGGATTTGTGGGTTTACGCTGTTACAGTCAGGATCTATCAACAGTTCAATATTATTATAACGGAGGAACTTCTTATCCTTTTGGCTGAGACGTATACGTTTTAGCGGTTTGGTGATGGTCCCGATTCTAGTTACTGCGATTTCATGTTGTGTTCCATAGACATCCCACAATTTTATTGCGGTAATTCCACAGTTCTTTTTCACTTCACTAAGAGCTTTTAATGTGTTAGTGGATAATTTTACGAAATCACTATTTCGTAAATGAAGATGTTCAGCCAATTCATTAATGATGAATGAACGATCGGATCCTGTATCAAGAAAGAGACGTACTGGTTCGCTTGTCTGAGTGAATGGGTTGAAGATCCGCGCTTGTCCTGCCAATACTTGGACATTCGTTGTATCTTCTTTCATCGAGTATGACCGTATTACCACAACGTTGCTGAGATATTTGCAAAGCTCTGGACCGCAGGTGTCTATGGTGGGGAACGAACGCGCTATTGTCCTTTCCGGGGAGTAACGCGTTCACCACCACACCATGCGGGTCCTTTGTTTCGCACGTCTCTCAGCTATTTCTATCGATCTTTTTGACACAGCAATCACCCGTCAGCGGGGTTGATCTGGGGAGCGCAAATCGGCATAGAACCCAGTTAAGCTATGGCTGTAGTTGAAATCACAATGTTTAACGTTTTGTTTTCTGCCTTCTATAATTTTCATGGCAGGTTAACCTGCCATGAAAATTATAGAAGGCAGAAAACAAAACGTTAAACATTATGACCGTATTGTTCTGATACTTCTACTGGGATTCCACTGTACTGATTCTTGACGGCGCAGTCTTTTTGCTTTTAGTGGCGTTGACAGGTTGCTTTTGTTTGTCTCTTTGGCCTACTTATGATTGATTAAGCTGTTCTTTAGACGGTTGTTGCTGCTTACAAATAGACGTGTGATGTCCATGTTTACCGCACACTCGGCAGCACCCGCTCTTTCAAGCTGATGTTTGGTGAAACTTTGATCCACAGTTGAAGCAAAGGTTCCATTCTTTCATAATCTGCAGGTTGCTGTAGGGGTCTATTTATAGTGCCTCTCTAATTTGATGTAATGCTGACGTTTCTGCCCAGCTGTTGTTGTACCTTGAGCTCCTTCAGCTCCTTCATTGATAGACTTTAAAAAATCTTCGGTTTTGAATGTTTTATCCGACTCTCGACTCCTTTGATCCAGTGCGTGTCTTTGAATATCTCTCGTAAATTTCGTAAAAAGTTGACTTTGTAGGTACGTGGTGTCCACAATTTTTCCATTGTGTGCTAATTGGCTGATTACGGAGAACAAGTGCTCGCACATTGTCTGCTGATCTTCAAGGCGGTCGCTCTTCGCTTTGGTCGTCTGTACTCTGTTGAGTAATTCATCCAGCAGATCTTGTTTATTAGCGTACTTCTGCTTTAGATAGGTGATAACCATCTGGTAGGATTCTCGTGTTATTCTGTATTGATTGACGAAAGCTTTTGCTTTCCCTTCAAGAAAACCTAATAGGTAGTTCATTTTCAAGAAGTCGTCCATTTTTTGTGAGTGCACTGAGTGGTTGAACGCTTCCCAAAAGGCGTCCCACTCCCATAGTTTTTCGCTGAATTTTGGAATAGGTATAGGTAGCAGGTTTACTGCTGGAGGACTGAAATTCGTGCTACTCTTAACGTTGTCTTTTGCGTCTTTTAAAGTTTTCTTTCGTTTGAAGAACTTGAAGAGATAACGTGTCGCTCTATCAAGTAGCTCAAGTGTTCTTTCGGTGTTTGCATTATTTCTCTCACTTGTGTCTTCTATTGATGAGATGTTAGGATCAAGATGATCCGCTTCTTCACTGTACTTATCCAGCGCTGTCTGGACGTTTTCCATTTCGAACTGAATTGCATTTGAATCTGAAGTGCTGCATTTGTGATCCCTTTCCTTAGCATATTGACGACTTCATCATAGGTAAGCTCTACTTGGGACGATTCTAGGTCTTCACTATCGTCAAGATTACTTAGGAAACGGCTAGTAGTCCTTGTTAAAGCACTTTGACGTGAGGACATTGGGAAAGTCATTAGATAGCGAATGTAAAAGCACTGGTTTCCCGGTTTGAGACTGTTTGTTCTGCGACTTCGTAACAGTAGTTTGGTCGTTGCAGCAGACTCTATTGCTTTCCCTAATGCACCAAAAAAATATCGCAGTTGCTAGCGGAATATAGGCCTTCGAGTCAGTTCCCGACACCGAATAACCACCAGGTTTAAGAAGAATGCTCGACTTCGTGCGAAGTCGCCACGCGGGACATTTCGTAGTTGACACAGGGCAACACCTTTCGGCACTCAAACCTGGGATTAAACCTTTATATACATGAATCCAACACCGGTACAACAGGAAGAACGATGGAAGAATACTGGTGTAAGAACAAGGCAATGAAGTCGAACGTACGACCCCATAGAGATTGCCAAGCCAAAAAAATTCGGTGCTAGTCGGGTGTGGCTACGTCCAAGCGAGTCGTTGGTGGTAGGGTCAAGGCCCGGGTCGCAGGGGTTTATTCCCCAAGCAATGAGACGTCTCCAACAGCATACCCGGTGGTGTGCCCGATGGCCACGAGATGCTGTGTTCAGTGGTGTTGTGGCAAAGGTCGTCTCCATCGACCCATGAATGTGTCTGCTAGGTAGGTAGAGAATTTTGATAGTAGAATTTTCTGTACAAAGTTCCTTAGGCTGGGATCAAAGCATTTACGTACTACGACATTTGCCAGGCAACTTTAGAAACGGTAGATCTGATCCCTACTACAGAAACATGCAGTAATAGAAAGAAATAGCAACTATTCCGATGATAATCACAATTTTAACTTATTATTTACTGCCTACTCTTTTTAACGGCAGGGTATACATTGTTAAATATAACTTTAATGATGCTGAGATATTTGCAAAACTCCGGACCGCACGTGTATGCGGTGGGGAACGAACGCGCTATTGTCCTTTCCGGGGAGTAACGCGTTCACCACCACACCACGCAGGTCCTTCGTTTCACCTGTCTCTCAGCTAGTTATTCCGGGGATATATTTATTTATGTGATCTTATAAACTGATCTTCTTAAGCTGACGCGAGGTTGGTACAGATCTTCGTT